TAATTCCTTGTGGAGTTAACACTGATACTCCGTTTGGGGATTAAAGCAGGACCTGACCTGGATTTGCTCCACATCGCCCATGCCCTAGATTGAAATGTTAAAGGACTTGGAATAAAAAAGTTGCATTTCAGTAACGGCTTCACAGCAGCTGGGGAATTAATGTCAGGCAGGCAGTGATTTCCCAGTGGTTGGGTTTGTAGCAAAAGTCTTCAACTTTTATGTGTGGCCTGTTTGAAGTTGAAAATTGTTGTTAGACTCTCCAAAGTTGTTTGAGGTGTCACTCATCCTTCCCTTTTGTGTTGAGGCGAGGATGTGAAGCACAGCAGCTGGGAACAGCTCTGTGACTGCCACCCCCGAGGCAGGTCCCTGCCAGGGCCCAATTGAGCCCATCTCCCAGGGAATTCAAAGCTTTCAGCGCAATGCAGCTCTGCATCTGTCTGTAGTCTCATCACCCACTACTCTTTTGCAGGAACTCTCCACTCCAGCAAGAGTGAGGAGCTTGTGGCCCCATGCATGTGCTGTGCAAATGAGTATCTCTAGCACTTTTATTCTACATACAATTTGCCCTCCTAGGATATCTTTCTTCAGAGAGACAGCAACATGGGGTAATGACAATAACGATGATACCATGGCAACAATAAATCCAGCAGCTAACATCTTATTTAGCGCTGATTATGGGTCAAACACTTCGGACAAGATTACCTCATTTGGTTCTCAATAACCTCACCAGATACAAACAAAAATCTCTATTTTACCTATAAGATAATCGAAGCTTAGCAAGCTTAGATGAATTAACCAAGGGTACACAGCCCGTAAATGGGGGCTGGAATCCTTGCAGTCTGACCCCAGAACCTGTGTTTTTTTGTCATTATCAACATCTAGAAAAGTACAGTCTTGGGAGCAGAGAGACCTGCCTTCTGGCTTTGCCTCTATCACCTACTAACTGTGTGACCTTGATTAGGTCCCTTTACCTTAAAACCAAGGCTCCCACTTCTGTGAAACGTGGTCTCCCGATTCCTCTTGAAGGGCTGCTAAGAGAATCAGAGTTAATGCATGCCAGGCGCCTAAGCAACGAATGGTAGCCACTATAATTCACCTTTACGCATTTTCATTCTAAGCATTTTTTTCTAGATCCTGCCTTATTGCCTCCTTAAAGTACTTCCCTCTTCTTGGCTTGTGTCGCTTGTTAGAGGTTCTACGTTCATCCTCAAAGGAGACAAAAGAAGGCTATGAGGAGTTGACATATGTAAAGTTTAGGTGTTTCTCTCCTAATAAACCTCAAAGAACTACACATCTCGAAAATTGTGGGTTTGAGGAGACTAGGAAACACCAGTCCAGCAACGTCTAGTACAGAGTAGGAAGGCAATTCAGTCTATGGACATGGGATTTAGGATTTCAATCCTGGCACTTTCAGGCTCTGGGTGGAGCAAATAGCTGTTCCTGTGATACAGTGCATTCAGTGCCATTCCAACGCCCTTCTAGCAACATCCCTGCCATAGAGTTTGGGAAGCTACAATTTGTGTTGTCTTAACTTTTTTGTAGTTAGGGCATTCACACGAGACTTGGTGGCTGCCATGAGCACTGCGAGCTGATGGCTATGTGTAGGGAGAGAAGACCCTCACTGAGAAGGAGGCTTCTGTCCTACTCAGACAGCTGTGCTATACTATACTATCCAGTCCCTACTGGCAGAGGCATTGACTGATGGGCAGTGGAAGCAATGCACTATGGGCCTTTCTCCTGGATGTGTTTGTATCTGGCTATATAGTGCCCAAATCCAATCCTCTGGCCTTCTGGGAGCTTCTATAAGCTGCATAATGTTTCTAATCAGTCTTTCCATCTTGAACAAGATGGAATGCATTCTGTTTTCTGCAACCAAAAATCTTGATCAATACACTAGAAATGTTACACTAGAAGAGTTACCTAACCTCTTGGACCCACAGTTTCCTCTTCTGCAAAACAGTACCAATAAAAGGACTGCCTCTTTAGACTGTAGTTAGTGTCAAATTAAATGGCACATGCAAAATAGTTATCACATCATGTGGTATAAATGAGTCCTCACAGAACTTACAGAATGGTAGTGAGGGCAGGCAAGTGAACAGGGAGGTACAATGAGCTGTGGTATGTAGCCTGGAATGGCAGAACTCTGGCTTTGAACTTTGAAGCTCAAACAAGATTGGCCAATCAGGGAAGGAAAAGACAAAAGTCCTTCAAAAACCAGTGTTTAGACTGAGATCTAAAGTAAGAGTCCAGAATAACCATGTACAGGGAGGGTAGGCAGGAGTGGCATGTGACTAGCCCTGTCCCAGGAGAAGAAACAGGATTTGCAAAGGCCCATAGAGAGGAAAGAACATGCTGTACTTGAGGAACTGAGAGAAGTTGAGTGTGACCGTAGTAGAGAGTGTAAGGAAGGGATCAGGAGAGGATGTAGGGAGACCAGATAGCAGATGACCTAGAAAATGGCCTCAAGAGGTTTGGAATTCACTGGGCTTCTCCCAACTTGTCCCTTATAAACCATGCCTAATTTTGCTCACTCAAACCACCCTTTTGCAGATATACATAAGGCTAATCCAACCAGACCGCAAGCTTATGGAGGGTGGAAAATGTATTTTAGACCTCTCAAGGATACTGTCTTGCCTATGCAGCTTCTGTACAAATATTTGTCAATTGTACTTTGTGTTAAGCAAAGTTGAATGGAGCATGTACTTTTGCCTGTAAATACATTGTGAAATAGCAAATAGCTTCTATTTGCTTAAGAACCTCTGGGCCTCACCCAACACTCATATGGAAAGTTTGTTCTTTTGAACTAGAATATGCTTTGTGCAATGAGAGCTGTTTACACCATGAAGGACTTATGGTAAGGAACTCCGTCTCTTTTGTTTACTTATTTCTTTCCTACTATGATATTAATAATTTCCTAACCAGGTGGGGTTTCTTTCTTTCTTTCTTTTTTACTTCGAAATCATGCCATGAGGTTAATAGAGTCATGGGCAGATTTTTGTTTTGTTTTCTTTTGTTTTGTTTTGTATGCAAGTCCTAAGACTTCGGTTTCATAAGATGGTATTTCAGCATTCTAGAGAATACCCTTTAGCTCAGTTGGGCATTTATGATTGCAGGATGAGGAGCCAGTCTGGAATCACCCTGGCTATTGCCATGTGTTCTTTAGGGAACATCCCGGAAGGACTTGGTAGATTTCTGAGAAAGGATTTATGTTGGAATCAAGAGACATTTCATGGACACTATAGGGGCCAAAACCCTTGGCTCCCTGAAGTTTCACTGAAAAATCACTGACATGAGGCACATTGATTAATAGGAGAAAAGGCAAACAAATTTATTTAACATGTATACACAGTAGCCTTCAGAATGAAGACCCAAAGATACAGGGAACTTGTCCATTTTTTATGCTTAGGTTCATCAAAGTGTGGACAGCCATGCAGAAATAAGACTGGACAAAAAGGTTATGCTCTAATGGTCAGAGACTGAATGGGGAAACCCAGCAAGGTCTGTCTCTCTAGAATAGATTCTTCTTGGTCTCTCTGAGCATGCATTCCTTCCTTCTGGGTATGGGGCAGAGGCCACAAAGTAGGTCAGCTAATTTGTTTATGGCCAGTTTTTATACAGAATGTTTTTAGGTTTTATGGCTGGTTTTTGAGAAAAGGGGTCTGCTTTCTACCACTCACCTTGGGGAAGACAGATTCTAGCTTCTATGGCCAGCTTCAGGAGAGAGACAGGAAGACAGGAGAAGGTCAGAGGAAAACTTTTGCTTCTGATGCTGTTTCTTAGGCCTTCATTTGGGGTTCTGTTTTCTGAGCCCCAGCAATGCTCATCAGTAATCTACACTGCCATTTCTTATGCTAAATAGGAAACTAAAATGTGTTTTGATCTCCAATAGTGTGCTAGAGCTGGCTCATAGCAGCTTCAGAAAACCAGAAGTTAAGTATTCAGGAATTTTTTTGAGTCTGTTGTTAAACAATTGTAGCTTGAAATCACCCACAGTGAGAGTATTTATACCATGTAAATTGGCAAATGTTACAAATCATAACTCCTTCCCTCTTTCCCTTTTCCAGAGAGTCGGTCTATCAGCACACCACTCCATCTATCCCATTTACAGGAGTGGTGTTTTGTGTTTTCAGATAAAAAAAACCTGTGCTCAGATGCACTGGGATGACGTGTATTGTGGACCAAAAATATGTGTATGTGTTTTGTTGGAGAAAATATCCCATGTAGGGACATAGCACACAGTTTGGCATAGAATAAGAGCCCAGCAAACATCTGTTGAATGGATGACATCCTTGTGAGTTGATAAGCATCTCTGCAGCAGCATCAGATCAGCCCAAGCCAATCTCCTACAGGAATCCCTCCTGAACCACGTGATCTCTAGAATTGCTCTGGAAGCTAGGCTGTCACTCTCTTATATTACTGAAGTAACTCATCATAACTTAAAAAAAATTTATAACTCCATCAGTGTATTCAGCAATCATATTGGACTTTAACCTCTCAGAGAACAGAATTTGTCTGATTTGTTGCTTTAAAATAACAGGTGCTCATTAAATTCATTTTTTCAATGAATGAAAAATGTGCAAAACAATACTGTATGGGGATGCAACACTTCATAGTTTCCCAAATAGTGTGGGTATTGTTGAGGCAAGGTGTACAGCTAGTGTTACAGCTCTTGACCAGGGAAAGAACCCAGCCACACACGAAGAGTCGGAGAACAGCCTTTATTCCTCCTGCAGGCTCAGCACACCTAGTATTACAGCTCTCTTTGTCTTCCAATCTTCTGAATCCCCCTTCCTTGTTCTCCTCCTGCTTTTATAGCCTTGGTAAGGGCTCAAAAAGTGTCCAATCAACTACAAGCTTTAACATCCAATCAACATCAAGCTTTAACATCCAATCAACATCAAGCTTTAACATCCAATCAGCAACAAGCTTTAACATCCGATCAACATCAAGCTTTAACATCCAATCAGCAACAAGCTTTAACATCCAATCAACATCAAGCTTTAACATCCAATCAGCAACAGTGGGATTCAAAAATTACCCAATCAGGACCACGCAAGCAAGGGGGCTGGAAGCAGGTGGTGGCACTTGGGCCGGTGGCTCTCTGCCGCTGGGCCTGGCCCCAGCAGCGTGCCCTACAACTGGCCATGCACAGCCCTGGCCTGCGGAGATGGCCCTACAACTGGCCATGCACAGCCCTGGCCTGCGGAGATGCAGAACGACAGGGAGGCAGCAAGCAGCCACTTTCCAGTGCCCAACATTTTCCATGTCAGTATGGCTTTAGCAATGCCCACAATATCCCTGTGGGTAGGCAGAATGGAACAGTTATTCTTCCAAGCAGTTAAAACAGTGCTTGGCATGTGGGGGCTCTAAATATATATTGAATTAATTATTCATCAATCATCCCCTTTCACAGATGAAGAAACGAGCTTATGGAAGTTACCCGACATAGTTCAGTTTTAGTTAGCGTCATTTCTATTTACATTAGGCTGCCTCTCCTCATAGTGCCTCAACTTTTAAAAATGCTCTATCGCATTTGCTTTCATTTTTCACCGCCGCAGCTCTATCAGATAGGCAGCTATTTTTATTCATGTTTTAGGAGGTGACAATACTATAGCACAGAAAGTTTTTGTAACTTGCTTGAGGTTGCATAGGGATTCGAGGGTAAATCTCGTCTTACAATCCATGTTGTCTAAAGATTCTGAAGCTAGACTGTATATGGTGTAAGATGGTATCACATTTTACTGACATTTTAGAGATTCCTGTAGCTCTTCAGGGAAAGACAGACTGATCAAAACAGGCTAACAAGAAGCATTGTACCATAGCACATTTAGAAATACCTTCTAAATATCGTCATGCCTCCCCCCCAAATGTGTTTCTTTCCCTTGAAACATCTTAAAACATGCTGATTACTAGATTTTCTGCTTTGCCACTTATGTGTACTGAAGATTCAAATTGAAGTTTCAGATATAAAATTACAGGAAATTACCTACTTTCTCTTTTGTGAATGGAATTTTGATTTTTTTTTTTTAATAATCTGAGGAGGTGCTGATTTTCCATGAATATGGAAATTCTATGATTGCTCTTTCCCCAGGACTCTAACATTTCAAAATGGCCACGAGACCCCTGTATGAATTATGAGAAGGACACAGAGTTAAGTGTGATGATTTTTACATTTATGTTGTAAAATTTGATGTTATTCCCAGCACAGCGCTTCATTTCCGATGAAAAGTTTGCTGCCAGCTTCCCACTTTTTCTATGGACGGCATCACCACCCATTTTATTAAATCCACCAGCAACTCATGGAAACATGCATGATGTCGTTTTTTTTTGTTTTTTTTTTAATGTGGGGGAAAAGAATTTTGGAAGTGGGAGCTGGTTCACATTTCTCAAACATGTTTTTTCACTCTTGCTGTTCCCTTTTGACCTTCCTGAGGATGCGTGTGGGTGTTAAATTGTTACCAAAGGGAGGGGCCCTTGTAACTCCAACGAGATCCACACACACAAAGACACACTTTCCCACACACAGGACTTGGCTCTGTTGCACTTTCATGGAATGCTGAATGGAAAAGATGCAGGGTGTTTTTGATCTGCAGAGAAATCGAGCCAGTATAGTGGCCATCATTTTTTTGTTGTTGTTTTAAAACAGCCAGATTAACATTTGGGTTGGAAGGCATTTTGTGTGAGGGGAGAGGGTGTGGCTGGCAAATATGTTTCCTCTCTTTTAAAAAAGTAGAAACGTGATATATTCTGTTTATGAACATTTAAATACTAAAGAGGAATGTAAAGTGAAAAAATCACTTTCTTGATCTTGTCTCACTCCTAGGAGTAGCCATTAAATAGCTTGATGTTCGTCTGTCTAGAATTTTTTCTATTAATTCAAGAACCACTTATTGAGATTCTACAATTTGTGATGGTCGTTTCGTTTGAGGGTGAGAGTTTGTTACCAAAAAATGTATGTATAGCCTACAACTTGCTTTTGTTCATTTAAAAATGGACTCTGGGTATTTTTGTGTGTGTGTGTCAGGGTAGACTCATTCTTTTTAAGGACTGTATAGTGTTTTGTTGTATTGGCTGTGCCCTTTTCAAACTGATCTTCTATTGACAGGCATTTGAATGGCTTCCATTTGTTCACTGCTACTCACAGTGTCACTGTGAACCTCTGTCTTTGCACATTAGAGTTGTATTTCTCTAAGACCGATTCATGACAGTGGCATTTTTTTTTTTTTGAGGGAGCATATTTTTAACATTTGTAATTTCAGGGAATGTCTGTATTAAAAAAGAAAGAACTTTTATTGAGCTACATAAGCCGAGACTCAGTAGTATTTAAGACAAGACCGGCTCCAAGATTTATTCCTATAGTAGTGTACTCAACACCAACTATTCATTAGAATCACTTTGAGGAGGGGAACTTTCTGAAACAAACGAATGTCTAGACACCACTGACAAATCACATGAGAATCTTTGGTATTGGGGTCCAAGTGTGTATATTTTTCTTAAAAAAATGCTCTTTAAGACAGATTGGGAGCTACTGTGCTAGTGAAATTCCCTCCAACATAGCAACGAATGTGTCATTTTTGTTGCTATTCTACATCTAAGTGTGTATGTTTTGTGCCCAAATGTATACAAGCACGCGTGTTTCGTGTAGTTGAAATAATAGGATTTTTCTACTTTTCACTTGGCTGTTTGGTACATTTGGCCTCAATTGCTATCAGCTAGTCCAGAAACAGTGTATGTTCTATGCAGCTCTGCATCCAAATAACATCAGGAGAATGATCAAAGAGGCAAATGGGAACTTTAATGGGGGAATGGTGAGAAGTCCTACATGTGATTAAAGGGAAGATAAAAGGGCCATTAAGCAACTGTGTGGAGTAATGTTTAGACTGAAAAATTATAGACAGTCATATATAAATAGAATCCATACAGGGCATTAACGATCAAGGGAAATGACCCTTTGTCTTTTTCTCCTATATTTCTTCAACTCACAAAGTTCGGTTGGCAGATGATGGTAGGAATGCAAGATACCTGCCTACGTGTGCATAGAGGGAAGTTCATCTTGTGCTTGCCGGGAGCTGCTACGTTACATACTATGTGTTTTTAGTATACTTTATAGGGTAATTCATAGGCATTAGTTTATGTGACCCTCACATCATTCCTCTAATGCTGGCAGAAAAGAGAGTAGTACCTTCGTTATACAAAAGAAACTTAGGGTTGGAGAGAAGAAATGAGACCCGGCTCATATCACTAGCATAGAAGGCAGCTAGAAAAAAACATTTTGTTTCTAATTGATGTCTTTGTAGAACTTTCCCCTAAGGTTTCTGGCTCCTAGGCCTGTGATCTTTGTATTAATATACAAATGTCAACAGGAGCAACAATAAAGAGTGGTGTAGACTGGGGCAATTAGAAAAGAATCCTGTCGAAGGACATTCAAATTTTAAAATTTTTAAAGATTGTGTGAGAGAAAAAAATATCTTGAGCCAGATTCAGCAAATGGGCTTTCAGTTTGTGACTCCAATTTTAGATAATTGAGATTTTTGCATGATAGAAAACTAGAGGAAAAATCTGCCTTAGAAGTTGACAGAACTATTTCATAAGCATTTATGTAAGGTGATAGAAGCAGGTTTTAAACATAAATGAATGTGGTCTAGATGTAGATACTTTCTAGAATCTTCTCTTTTTGTGTTTCAAAAGTGTATATAAACACATTTACTGGCAAGGCCGCTTCCCCCCAATCTCCTCTTTGTTAGAAGACCTTGGTGTTGCTAAGCACAGATTTGACAACCCTGGTAATTTTCAGGAACATAACTTCCATGGTGGTCCAGGGATTGCTATTTGGTGCCCAGAGAGGGAACATGTTATGACCCTTTCCCCCACAAGTTTGGATTGTTTTCCCAATTAGTCAGTGATCATCTTGCCGATAACGTACAGGGGAGTGTGTTAGGAGGAGGGAACAGTAACTGGGGAAGTTCCAGGCCAAAAGAATAGGAGCAAAGTGAGGTTGGAATCAGCTTGAAGAGCAAGATGAGGGCAAGGACACCAAAATCAAGGCAGAGAATAGTGGAAGGCCAGTGAGCACAGCTCCAGGCTTGAACTCTAAGGTTGAATTATTTTAACCTTTATACATCAAGGAAGCACTTTACATTTTTCCACTAGGATTTTCTACTGTTGATTTTCTCAACCATCCTGTAAATTCAGTGGCAGAGGTAATAATGGCCCAAATTCTTAGAAGAACAGCAGCAGAAAATGGTTCAATAATTGCCCAAGGGTCAGAGTACAACATTAATAGCCCAGCTAAGACCAGAACTCAGGACTCCATACAGAAATCCTTGTCTCTGTATCTCATACTTCTTATTTCAAAACTGGATGAAGGCTGGCCTTATAGTGGGTGTATATTTGCAGCACATGCTTCAATAAACAAGAAGTCTTGTTTTCAGGCTCATGTCTGGAGCATGAAGAGGAAGAGGAAAGGAGCTACTTCAACTTAGCAGGTGAAAACCAAAATGCCAGAAGAGCTAAAGATTCCTATAGGCGAAGAGGAAGTTATTTCTCCCGAGACCACTAGGGAAGAGAGGAGGAGGAGAATCACAGGAGGGGGAGAATCACATGGGGGTGTGTGTGTGTGGGGGGGTGTAGATCCTATATTATGTTGTTACACAAAGCTGTGTGTAATCTTTGAGGCTCTTTCAGGAATAAAATCTATGCCAGAATGCTAGAGGCAAATAAACAGTTGTATGACTTTTTTTAAAAAAATGAATTCTGGAAACTGTAGACAACAACTTAATTTTAAGTACACTTGACCAAAATTCTCAGATCATTGACTAAAGAAGCTTTGGAGCCTGAGCAAAGAATGTGGTGATTTGTAAGAGCCAACAAGGGTTCACCAAGAATGAAACAGAGGAGCCTAAACTATTTCCTTTTTAAAAAATAGTGTTATCACAGTGAGAGATCACAGGGACATAAATATAGTTGATCTAAATTTCAGTTAAGATTTTGGCAGAATTTTCTTTTGGAAAATTTGGTGGATTGTAGTCCCAGCTACTCAGGAAGCTGAGGCAGGAGGATCGCCTGAGCCCAGGACTTTGAGGTTGCTGTGAGCTAGGCTGACACCATGGCACTCTAGCCCAGGCAACAGAGCAAGATTCTGTCTCAAAAAAAAAAAAAAAGAGATATTAAAAAAAAGAAATACTATGAGATATATTTCTCCCCACAAGGAAGATTATACTGGACTTCTGAACTTCTTTCAACTCTAAAAATTATATACAGAGATATGTATATATGTATGTATATAAAGTACATATAAAATATATAAACACACATTTTATATATAAATTTTAAATTATATATATAATTTATTTTTCACACAGTTATAATTACAGAAATTTCTCATATGAACCAATCCCACTTATATGGCGAATTTCATGGATTCCTATTCATTTTGTTACTTGTTCTTTCCTTTCTGCAATTAAAAATTACGTATCCTATAAATTCCGTCGCACTAGACCTGTTAAACTACCATGTTTTTAAAAATATTTTCACAATTCTACACAACAAAGTAGTCTCTTTTATTAACTACATCCTCTCCAGGGGTTACTAATGGGGTTGACAATGCAGTTCTTCCTGCAGCTAACTTTGGCACTGTGAAAAGTAAGGACATCGTGCTAACCAGTCCACGCCTGTCCCAAGTAACCTTGGTCACAGGGTCTCATTAATCACAATATATTTTCCATAGCAACAAAATTGCACATTCAATAAAAAGCAATTGCTCTTAGCAAGAGTGAAACCCCAGGAGATGGAGCAGGAGAGCATTATTTTTTATAATGGCTAGAAGATGTAAGTTCTATTAGAAGAAAATACAGTGGTATTTTCATGGTATAAAAAATGGCATGGTATAAAAAATGATGTCTTTTTTAGAGAGGGCCCAGAGGGTAACTGGGCATGTTACATATGGGCGGGGTTGTACTTCTCATGTCTTTCAAGGTAAGGGGAAATGGATGTTTAGAGCTCTGGTGATTGGTCCAGTTTGTCACATGGCAGTGTTCTACCCTATCATGGAAAGTAATAATTATAATAACAGCAATGGATAGCACTTACTGAATGCCTACTGTAGGCCAGACACTGTACTAAGCACCATGCATGCTTTATCTCATTTAACTTCACAATAACTCTTTCATCTAAGTCTTCTGGCTCACACCATTTTTAAGTTGAGTGAACCAAGGCTTCATGGTTTGTCCACTGTCACTGCTAGTACAAGGGATATTAATTTCTCTGATGCCAGGTCCCAGACTTTCAGCCAATTGAATACATTGTCTTCCAAGTCCTATGCTCCAATTTATCTCCAACAATGAAATGGTCATTGATCATTGGTGGGAAATCATTATTAAAGGTCTTTATGTCTCTTCTTAACTCATCTAGATGTTCTAAGCCTTCAACCCAAGACTCAGAAACTTGGGAAAGAGACTGAAGAACATCCTCAATGGATCAGAAACTTGCAGAGTTGTAAAATGTGGCCTGTGGTCTAAGAAGTTTAAAGTCTTCTTTAGAATTTTCCACATATGCAACCTGAATAGAAATCAGTTTTTGTGGTCCAAATCTCAAGAATTCAGAAGTAATGGAGTTCAAATTGAGCTAATTAGGGAAATTATAGGATACTCTACTAATAATAATTAAATAATTATTATTATTTATCTCCAACAATGAAATGGTCATTGATCATTGGTGGGATCACCAATAATTAAATAATTAAATGATTATTATTATTTAAATAATTAAATAATTATTATTATTTATCTCCAACAATGAAATGGTCATTGATCATTGGTGGGATCACCAATAATTAAATAATTAAATGATTATTATTATTTAAATAAATAATTATTAGTAGTAGAGTATCCTATCTATGACCTGTATTGGAATATGACCATCCTATATATATTGGATGAATAGAGAGAGAATGGATGGATTGGTAATTGGATAGGTGCATTGATGGAGCATCTTAGATGATGGAAGGAAAAGATTGTACTTCAGGATGATCCTAAAGTTGGGGCAGGATTTCAATTGATGTGGAAATAGAAATAAAGCTTGAAGTTGATTCTCCCGCATCTTACTGGGCACAGGGGTGTGAATCTCAGTTTAGCTACATACTAGCTGTGTAATTTAGGGCAAGTCATTAATGCCTATAAGTATCACTTTCCTTATTCATAAGTTCATGATAATAATTTTGATTCTGTTGAAAGAATAAAATGAGATAATGATCTTCACAGGCCATCTCCCAATTTGTTCCTCATCACTCAGGTCTCATGTCAGCTGTCAGCACCTCAGTGAAGACTTTCCTCACCTCCACATGTGAACTATCCACACTGGGTGACACCATTTTCTGCTCCATTGCCCTATTTTTTATTTTTTTTAAGTATTAAGGGGGTATAAATGTTCTGGTTACATAGATCTCTTTAGTAATGCTTGAGTAATGGTTAATAAGTGTGCCAATCACCAAAATAGTGTTCATTGTACCCATTAAGTAGGTTCCTCTCCTCCTCTTTCCTGTCCCCTGTTTGATTTCCACTAAATTTTACATTCCTCTTTGCACATGTATGCTCATCAGTTAGTTCTAGTTTAATAGAAAGTCCATGTAGTGCTGGTTTTGCCATTCTTGTGATATTTCACTTAGGAAAATCGTTTCCAGTTCCATCCAAATTGTTGCTAAAGGCATTAATTCATCCTTTTTATGGCTGAGTAGTACTCCATGGCATACAAATCCCACATTTGAATTGATGGGTACTTGGGTGAACAAAGATGCCACATCTTTGCAATTGTGAATTGTGCTGCAATAACGTTGGAGTGCAAGTGTCTTTTTGATAAAATGACTTTTTTTTTTTCCTTTGAGTAGATACCCAATAGTGGAATTGCTGGATCAAATGGTAGGTCTACTTTTAGTTCCTTGAGGAATCTGCATGCTGTTTTCCATAGAGATTGTACTAATTTGCAGACTCACCAATGGCTCATAAGCATGCTTTTGTCTCTGCATCCACACCAATATCTGTTGTTTTTGGACTTTTTAATAAAAGCCATTCTAACTGGGGTAAAGTGATCTCTCATTGTGGTTTTAATTTGCATTTCCCTGACAATTAGTGATGTTGAGCATTTTTTCATATGTTTACTGGCCATTTGTCTATCTTCTTTTGAAAAGCTTCTGTTCATGTCTTTTGCCCACTTTTTAATGGGGTTGTTTTTTTTTTTCTTGCTGATTTGTTTGAGTTCTTTGTGATTCTGGATATTAGCCCTTTATTGGATGTATAGCTTGAGAATATTTTCTCCCATTATGTAGGTTGTCTGTTTGTTCTGTTGATTATTTCCTTAGCTGTGCAGAAGCTTTTTATTTAACCAAATTCCATTTATTTATTTTTGTTGTTGCTGTGATTGCACTGGGTCTTAGTCATAAATTCTTTACCTAGGCTGATATTAAAAGAGTTTTTCCTACATTTCCTACATTTTCCTCTAAAATTCTTATGGTTTCATGCTTTATATTTAAGTCTTTTATCCATCTTGAATTAATTTTTTTTTTGAGTGGTGAGAGACAGGGGTCCTGTTTCATTCTTCTGCATGTGGCTATCCAATTTTCTGAACACTGCTTATTGAATAGGGCTTCATTTCCCCAGCCAGTATTGCTGTCCACTTTGTCAGAGATCAGTTTTCTGTAGGTAGATGGTTTATTTACCTACCTGGGTTCTCTATTATGTTCCATTGGTATATGTCTCTATTTTTGTGCCAATTTCATGCTGTTTTGGTTACAATAGCCTTGTAGTAAAGTTTGAAGTCTTGTAATGTGAGACCTCTAGATTTGTTCTTTTTTTTAGGATTGTTTTGGCTACTTGGGCTCTTTTCTGGTTCCAAACAAAGTATAGAATTAATTTTTCTAGATCTGTGAAATATGATGTTGGCATTTTGATGGGGATTCCACTGGATCTGTAAATCACTTTGGGTAGTATGGACATTTTAACAATGTTGATTCTACCAATCCATCACCAAGATACACATATGTTTTTCCATTTATTTGTGTTCTCTGCAATTTCTTTCCTCAGTGTTTCATAGTTATCCTCATTGAGATCTTTCATCTCCTTGGTTAAGTGTAGACCTGGGTATTTTATTTTCTTTGTACCTATTGTGAAAGGTATCGAGTCTTTGATTTGACTCTCAGCTTGACTGTTTATTTGTGTATAGAAATGCTACTGATTCGTGTACATTAATTTTGTAACCTGAGACTTGCTTTGTTTTTTTTTTCAGATATTTGTCACTCTCTATAGCAATCATATTTATTCATTTGTTTATGTTTATTTGCCTGTCTGATTCAATAGAATACAATCTGTTTGAGGTTGGGGAGCTTGTCTTTTTGTTCATACTTATATCCTCAGTGCTTAGAACAATGACTGCCACAGAGTCCATGCCAAGTAAATGCTTTCCAATGTATGCTTGAATGAATGAAAACATGATAACCACTGGGATGCTTGTTTAAAATACAAATGCCCTGGCCTCAACTCTAAAGTCTCTAATTCACAAAGTCATTCTTGAGGGTTCCAATAAATGAGAATTTTACAAGTTCTTCATGTGATTCTGATGTACAACTAGGTTTCAGACTACTACATTATAAAAATTGCTTTTGCCCTCAAGGAACTTTCAATCCTTAAAGGGTAGACAATATATCACTGTTTAGGGAAAGAATAACAAACATCTCCACCAATTTGATCTCCATGAGACCAAACCAGAGCTCCTTTGGGCTTCCTGGATTACAAAAAAAAAACAAAAAGAAAATGGAAGGAAAAAATGCTTTCAGGGAAAGAGGAGACAGAGGAGAGTGAAGGAAAAAAAGCAAAGATAGGGTGATAAAAATAAGCACACAATAAAACGCCCCTCTGCTGCGGCCTGTTAGAACAATGATAAAGAAATAAGAAGGAAAATGCAGAAGAAACAGATGTAGCTGCCAGAAGTTAAATACACATCTGTTAAGAATGCTCTTCTCATATGCAGGGTCAGAAAAATATGTACAAATGTAGCACCTCTCTGATTGACAGAAAAACCTCAGTTCTGGCACTGGGAATCTTGTTTTCTTGACAGCACTTTGTTTTAAAGCTGGAGGCAGAGAAATGTCTTATGCATGTCCTTAAACTGGAAGGCCTTTTGTTCAGGATACTTATACCATTTGCAGATAATGATGTGCATAGCAGTTTCAGCTGTCTGCATATGCATTTTTATGTTTTTTTATGACAGCTCTGCGTACTGAACTAAAAGGCCATTTAGAACTGTCAGGCACTGACAAGCATTACCCTTTACATTTACAATTCTGTTAGCGTGCATTGTCAGGTGGGCTCACCAGACTGCAGAAATGTGATTTCCTTTGAAACCTATGTATGACTTTAATTTAATACAGCAGCCTCAAAAAAAAAAAAAAAAAAAAAAAAAAAGACAGCGTGTGAGCCCAAGAGAGCTTTATTAAGTATTCTTTTTCCATTAATCTCCTACTTTTTTGTTTTTATAAGACCCTTCCTTTATTCCTCATTTCTTTCTTCCTTTTCTTTCCTTCTTCCCTCTTTCCATTATTTCCTCTTTTCTTCCTTCTTCTCTGTAGAATCCTTCATGTCATGCAGAAAGGAAGTCAGACTAGGGAACTGACTGTACCTGCCTCAGCCGTGCCCGACTATTTCTTACTTTTCATATGGCCCGAGGTTAATTTTCAGTCAAACCAATTTTTAAAAGATGTTCACTTCAGTGTAGCGTGGAGCGAATATCAGAGTCTGGACAGTGGGAACATAGAAAGAATCCATTTAGTCCAACTGATGACTTACCGGTCCCCATTTTCACTACCACCTGTCTTTGAGAGTCCCTTTCCCTCCCCCAAAACATTTATCTCAACAGCGTGGAGAGTCCATCCTATCCAAGACACTGACGTATGCACTCGGAGGGGAATAAAAGCAACGGGAAGCCGTGGTTTTTGCACAGCAGGATTTTATAGTCCACCGGGAATGGCCAGCTGTTTGCATGAAACAGAGAAGTTTCGACTCAAACTAGGCTAACATGACATGCTAACATGTATGTGATGACTTGAGACAGATTTGCCAGAAAGCTCTGAAACTTGAACCTCAGGGAGCCCCTCTCACCTGCCTGTCCCCTGTGCATTCCTGGTGCTGACTGGGAGCTAGTGAGAGTTCTAGGTGCAGAGGAGAAGCCCAGTCGCAAGCAAACAGCATTTTTCTATAAGCATTTCTGATAAACTACATCAAGAGATGACAGCAGGAAGGTCCTGAATTTTCAGTCTCCCTTCTGTAACTTCATTTTGTATTCATAATTTTGTATTCTTTCTTTCATAAAGGGTTCCCCAAATTGTATAAGCCTTAGGTCCCATAACTCTGGGCCCTTCTCTGCTTCTGACAGCAGCCTCTGTAAGTTGTTCGGGAAGTAGTGAACAACATGGTTGGGCAGTAGAGTCAGATTTTCTTTTAAAAGCTTGCCTTCCCCTGGCCCTCAGCAAAGCACAGGATTTGGCTAGGTGAGGAGGAGGGCCAGGGTATTAACAGCAAATAGAGAGAGTTTCAGGAAAATATTGGTTACAAGATAAAATTCTGAGAGCCAATGTTTTTGGCAATGGACAAGTATTTACTTTTTTTACTTTTTAAAATCGAGATAGACACGAAGTATAATAAGCACTTATCTTAAGTATATGGCTTAATCAATTTTACTGTGCATAAAAACCATGGTGCCATGTCCAGATCAGCACATAGGACGTTTCTAGCTCCAGTTTCCTTCCTTAGGAAGTTCCTAACTTCTGAGTATAAAATATATAATCCCCTCCACCAAATGTCTCAAAAAGGCAGGGTAGAGCATACTGGGAAGGCTGAATTTGGTGTCAGGAGATCATATGTTGTGTTGACCTACAAATAGAACGGCTGTTCAGAAACAGAATTCAATCCAGAGGAGTGGCAAGTTGCCTCCCCTTATTCCTTCCCCATAAGAATAAGGAACACCCTGACAGGCAGTGGACACCCTGATGGCAGAGTCCAGCTTGACATTCGGGCGGCGTGAAGTGTCAATCTATTACCTGGGTGGTGACTTGAGTTTTGCTGGTGCCCTGGATTCCCGTTAGAGTTGTGCAACTTTGGGTTGAGCATTGCCCTTTGCTTTAAGTTCTTTGGCAAATCGTGGTGGCCACACTCAGGGTGTGAGGGGTGTCATATCGAGTCCCAACATCTTTCTTCCAATGTGCTCATCAGTAGCTTTTTTTCCCTGGCAAAGGGGGTGGGATGAGGCCCCCAGGCTCCTGAAGGCAGGTAAGTGGAGGACAGAAAGAGCGCAAGAGGGAAGCAGGGTGGTGTGGTGGATGGCAGAGACAGGCCACAGAAGACTCCAGCCCTGCCACAGACCCAGGCCATGGTCACCAGCCCCCACCGTGAGCCCAGGCTGGCCAAGGCTCCCTCCTTGGAAGAGACAAGCTAAGAGAGAAAACAAAATCCATACAGTGCACTCCCCCTCGGCCCCTCCTCCCCGTCTCCTCTGTGCACTAACCTCCAATGCCCTGCGGGAACCAATTACAGTATTCTAATGAGTGCAGTTTCCAATAACTGCATTTGACGGGCCTGTTACCGCCTCGTCTCGGCTCACCTTTCCCAGCCATGAAGCCGCCCGCCCGGTGCTTGCTGGCTGGCTGGGCATCTCCCTGCGGAGTCACCAGTGATGGGGCTGGGGTGTAAGGACAGCTGTGTGAACACTCCTGTTCACAGAATGCAAAGGACTATAGGGCAAGCCGGAGAGGGAATAAGCCAGTCACAATTGGTGGCTTCCGATGGACACGGTTCACTTGCTTGAAAAAGTCTTTGGGAACCAAAATGAAGAGTCACATTTTTTAAAAAGCCCCTGTGACCTGGATATGCTTGTAGAAAAGGGCTAAAGTGTAGTGGTTAGGAGCAAGAGCATTGGACTTAAGAAGACTTACCTGAGACCTACCTATGTCTCCATCACTTACTATCATAGCTGCCTGAACTCCAGCAAGTTCCTTAATGTCTGAATGAGCCTCAGTTTTATCATCCATAAAATGGGAATACTAATAGTCCCTACTTTGTAGAGTTGTTATACGTGTTTAAGGAATAGTACGTGCAAAGCTCTTTGCATTTTTTCTTGGCTTGCTAAATGAATAGAGCTATTGTTATTCTAATACAGCTTGGCGCCTAACAAAGATGGAAATAAATATAAATTCTTGTCACTTACTGGCAAAGCCCTGCCCCCTCCCCTTGGTTCTGCTCTGTCTCTGCCTGGACCCTGTCTCAGGGTATACGCAGCACTATGGCAGACACCTCTACTCTATACAAAGCATGTGATAAATCTTCATGTGCTCGGGAAGCACATGCTCCAAGTCATGTTAACTGAGAAAGGTGAGTTTTGTCCATGACATACATGCATATGTATATATGTAGGTTTAAAAACACATGAAAAGGCATTTACCACCCTGTTCTTGGAAGGAGGAGTGTAAATGATTGGGGGGTGGGGGGGGTAGAAAGGGAGATAATTTCACATTTTACTCTGACTGCTCCAGGATTGTTTTTTTAAAAAACAGGAATGTATTCAGGGCAATTACAAAAAGAAGTAATAAAAATGTGTTTCAGTGGTCCAAAGTTAGAGGCTGTGGTTTTGTTACTGTTTGGGGCCTTGAAGGGCCACCCCCACCCCACCGGGCCACTCCACACCCACCTCATGCAAAGCACAACAGCCACCCTCTACCACTTTGTCACTTATTCCGACTCTTTCTTTCTTGCCCATTCTCAAGAGACTGTGCCACTAAAGCCTCCGACCCTCTACCCATTGATTGTAAGGATTTTGGAGTTTTATAATCCTTTAAAGTATTTTCCAAACGTGAGAGGGGGAGACAGAGAGAGAGAGAGAGAGAGAGAGAGAGAGAGAGAGAGAGAGAGAGAGAGAGAGAGAGAGATTGTCTCCAAATTGTTTATAAGGAAAATTTAGATTTACAGATAGATAATTTAGAAAGCTACTATTGTCTTTGTATGGAAATTTGAGAATTCGTCAAAACATTTCTTTAACTCTCTGGCTCCCTTATGCACCTGAAGAATTGGCTTACAGCTCATCAGCCACCTCGAGGAGACAGGGGGACAGTGTTGGCCGCCACCAGTGAGTCAAGAGCAACACCAAACGCGGATCAACATTCTGCAGAGCCAAGCCAAGTCAGTGAGAGCAAGGAACGGGTCTGGGGAAATCTGATGGAACTCTCTTTGCATAGTGCTTTTTGCAGTTTGCAATTATACATTTGAAGTCAGTAAATAAATCAGCACCTCTCTTCAGGAATCTGTATTCAGGATGAGAAGCTCAACTCAGACAAGAGAGGAGAAGTTAGAGAGACAGGGAAAAGGATGGGCGAACATCCAGCCTCACCTCTCTTCCTCCATGTCTGCCTCTCTCCTCCCCACCCTCCTGAGACTCTCTCCTTTCCACCTTCCTGACTTAGCAGCTTTGCACAGGCTGTTCCCTAAGCCTTAAACACTCTTCCCCAGTTCATTGCCTCCTTGACTCCTGCTCACCCTCTGGGTTTCAAACTCCTAAACTTCCTGCCCACCAATGCCATCCTTGACTTACCCAAATGGCCACCCATTATAAATTGCTCCCTTGTCATTTTTTCCTCATCAAACCAAGTTATTTCCCCTCATAGCACATATCAATCACAACTTATACTCATATATTAATTTGTCCATTGAATTTATATAATGTCTGTTTTCCATGAGATTGTAGGACTCTTATTTGCGTTATCCTCTGATCAGTGCTTAGCACAGTGTCTGGAGCATAGTAGATGCTCAATAAATGCTTGTTGAACAAAAGGATAAATTAATTAAATTAATCAATCAATTACTGTAGGTATCCCACAACAAATACTTTATAAGTCTTCACTTACTCTGCCCCATTTCCCTGAAAGCTCTTCTTTCTCCTCTCCATTTATCCAAATCCTAATCAGCCTCAAAACCCAATAACAAGGATGGCGATAAGGTTGATGATTTTATGCCATTTGGACCGAGGACTGAGAATTCCATATAAATGTAATCTTATTTGATCTTCATAACTCTATTGTTATTATCAAATATCAGAGGACAGCCAACTCAAAAACCCTCCAGCGATGCAAGGATTCAACAATCTGCATCTTAGAGCCCAGGTTTGCTGGGGGAATTGAGGGCTGGGGACAGCGCCCCAGCTCTTTGTCATTTGCACTTGGCATCTCTCTGAGGTGTCTGTATTTTAAGGGTAGTGGCCGCTGCTGTGGCTTCCTTGCTTTTGTAATTCTCTCTAGCACTCTGGGACTGCTGGATTCTGCCGAAGAGGGAAGAGCAGAGAGAAATTTGTTATTGCTTTTCTGATGTTTTTGGTTACTTGGTCCTTGGGGGGTTATAGGTGGGGGAGAAGGAGCCAGACATACATGGCAGCCCTCGACTGCTAAGATATAAGGTGAGCGAGGGAGGAAGTGGTATGATTTATGAGGCAGTGAAAATCGTCATTCCCACCGCCACTCCTGCAGCCAGCCCACCTTCATCTGGGCCAAAAGCTCACAAAGTACAGAGGTCAGAGGTCAATCTGCTGTGTGCAAGCAACCTGGGCCATGGGTGCATCTACTTTGAGAGCCTCAGTTTCCTCACCTCCAAAACGGAAACAAGAATAGTCCATATCCAACTGAGTTGCATGAGGATTCGATGAGAGTAAGTGTGTGAAACCTTCACATAGTGCCTGGTTCAACATCCTACTCTCGACAGGCATTAGTCACTGTTTTCATTGTTTATTCACTAAATGCCTGAAGTCAAGCACCCATCTGAATCCAAACCCAGGGTTTCCTGATTCCTAACTGTGTTCTTTTCGAATCACCCCTGACTGTTTGCCTGCACTGCGAACAGAGAGGGGGAAGAAGGAAGATTAATTAAGAAAGAGTCGTAAAAAAAAAAAAATTTCACCGAATATGGAGTGGATGTAATATTAACATACGTAATTACGTCTCAACTTCAGAAGCTATAATATCAAAGATAAAAATCATGTCAGCTTCAATCTTTTTCTCATTGTAGATTCAGACCATTACATTAATGACTAACTTTCTGAGCTGTATAATTTTTTTCTTGGAAAGATACCTTTTCTTGTGCTTAAGCACAGAAGCCCTTTCCCAGGCAGACCTTGGACTTGAAAGAGGCTTAGAAACCTCCGTGTCGGGGCCTCTGTCCTCCCTTCCTGCAACCATGCTTGTCCATGGGCTACTGCCACCAAGGAGAAACAAAGGCAGGCAGTCACTCAGGCGGCCACCCCTCGCCTTTGGCCAGGTGCAAAACTGACTCCCGCTGACTTCAGCTAGAGGTGGGAGCTGTGTGAGTAAGCCACCGAATGTCACCAGCCTTCTGGGCTGGGCTTGTTCCTAAAGAAGAGCTCCCCAGGCACCTTGTAAATAGGCCCTCACCCATTGTAATAATCAGGAGCCCCTATTCGGACCCTCCCTCTGAGCGAGAGAGCAGAGTCTGTCTGTAGGAGCCATAGCGTGGCATCTTCTCCCTGGCGCTCAGTCTGTGTCGCCTCCCGAGAGGTAAGAAATGAAAGAAATCCTGAACATTTTTGCCGTATCGGATGCAAGCATAACATCTTTTTAAGTTCTTCTCTTTTTTTTTTCCAGAACTAAAGATAGAACTGGGGCACAGAGGACCCCATTTCTTAGACGTGATGTTCAGGAATTTGCCCAAGGTCAAAAGCGCTTCTATAAAGAACACGAAGCTCTGTGGTTTCACGCCTTCTGCAGCCTTCTGAAACGATGAGCCGAATGGGAGGGAAAGGAGGTAGTTTGACTTTTGTTTGTTTATTATTTTCTTCTGTTTTGGTGCCCATCTGTCCTCCAGGCCTCTGACCCCAACCCAGTTCCTCCCCTCTTTCATTAAGTGACCAGTCTGATTACTCAGAGCACTTCCTCCTCAAAGGAGCATCTTTGCTTTTCTCTGGACTCCCCTCCTGTCTCTATTCCTATGTTAGCTACAAAATTTTTCCTGTCCCCTGCTTCTTTCCTTCTATTAGCTCTGACTCAGCAAACTAATTATGGAAACATAATTTTCTATTGGTTCATCAGTTGCCTCATCACACAAAAATTGCCAATAAGTTTAAGATGGGCTGACTTATAATTGGGACACATAAAACACAGTCCCTGAAAGATTGACAGTATTCATGGAAAGCAGCTGAAACTGAGTTTTCTGAACCAGTCTGCCGTGTGATTCCACTTGGGAGAGGTGTGCCCTGAATCCTCAGATATTCTGCACACAGAAAATGGTGTTTTCCACAACACACACACACACACACACACACACACACACACAAGCAAGTGTAAAAATGGAGACCCATATACCATATATGTCCAAATATTTAAGGGATAAATCCAGCTACGTAGGAAATAAAATACTTTCTCCTGTTATTACCTTTATAACATCCTATAAGGCTACCTTATAATTTACAGTTCTTTGACTCCTTGGAATTTGTATCAGATAATGGAAAAGCAAAGAAAGTTGACTCACAGCACCTGGGCCTGGATCCCCTTCCTTTCTCATCATGAATCCAATTTGTCTACATTGGGAAAGGCTTCATTTACACTATATATATATATATATATATACCCTAGTCTTAGTCCGTTACCCCAGCAGCTTCCCTGGCTCAGGCTGGTGATACGGAAGTCTACGCATGTGTTCCCCAGAGAACGGACTAGACAACCGGCGTGTTCAGGCTCTGGAAGTGGGCTCCGAGTCATTAGGACAGAAAAATCCAGTGTCCCTGGTATGCAGAGTGTGGCCTAGAAGGCAGTATGGCACAGGCTGCTAATGGGCACATTTCCATAGCCCTGTGGACAAGGTCCAAGTGGCACCTTCTAAAGCTTGAAGCCCAGGACAGGATTTTGCTTGCCTAGGTCTAAGGGCAGTACTAACGTAAAGGGTAGATGTGCCATGTTATGTACATATATTTATAATCAAGCTGCTTTTCATACGGGCAGCTCTACTTAGGGTACTCTACGTTGTTTAACTGCAGAGACTTGCTGATTTAATGATGGTTAATGGTATACTGGACAAGAGGGCGGTGGGGAGGCGTATTCGTATTCACATTAAGAGAGATAACCTCTTCCAGACAGCATTGACCAACACATAGTAGGTACTTAGTAAATGCATTACATTTAAGTAAATGAATGACCTATTATAATTTTATAAAGGGATTCATATACGAAAGGAGAGACTACTGGTGGGTATTATAGGCACTAATAGCAGATGAAAGAAATTTTGATTGATTTGTAAAGCACCTCCTTATTAGAGGTGACCCCTCTATATTAGCTGACAACAGATGACACAAGCTATTTCTGCTCGTAAAGCATTTATGGCTGCTTTACCCAGAGCTCAGAGAACATACGCATGATGCTACCAAACAAAATATTTTTAAAGCAGGATTTCTTGAGCCATTGTCACCATTGGCATTTGGGGCTGGATAATTCTTTGTTATGGGAGACTGTCCTAGGTGTTGGGAAATGTTTGGCAGCATCCTTCGCTTCTACCCATTAGATACCAGTAGCTTTGCCCCCCAGTTTTGACAACCAAAAATGTCTCCAGACAGTGCCAAAAGTTCCCTGTGGGACAAAAAAATCACCACTATTCTTAAAGGAACGGATTCTAGATAGATAGCTTGGTGTCATCTTCACCCAGCCAGAGTACATACCAAGCTGGAATCACAGCAGGCTTCAGTCGCACCTAGATTTAGTAAGGAAAATGGGAGTCAGCAAACTAAGGTGGTTTGCTTGGTTTCATCAGTCTTTAAGATAGCATAGCAAATGGTTATTTTCAGCTAAAAATTAAAATGAAAAGTAATGATGTTTACATCTCTTACAGCAATAGCTCCACTGATTTCTGTGTTGTTGTTTTTGCGTGCGAGTTAGGGAATGAGCCGGAGTGGATGTGCTAAAAAGTTCAAATATCGAATGAGATAAACAGAGAATGAGAAAGCATCTGCCAAAAGCATCTCTATTCTAGTCTCGATTCTCAGCAATGCATGCTTTTTAGGAAGATTCAGGAAAGGGCTATGTGGTACAGAGGCAGCCCCCCATTTCCACGGACGCTCGCCAAGCCCTTTTCCTGCCGCTGGTCTTCCACCTCCGCCACTTCCGGTACCAAGCAGGAAGTTGTGGCTTACTGACTTCCGGTGTGCGCGTGAGTGCCTGTCATGGCTTGCTGGAACCAGGACTTCATGACTTTTCAGCATGTGTGGCTGTAGTAGATGTCATTTGGGGGCCCAAGAAATCCCAGGATGCAATTAGGTACATTTTCTTGTATTATAAGGGCAAAAATTATTTATACCTGAGAGCACACAATGTTGCCTCTCTCCCACTTTTTCGGAGCAGGAAAGGATCATTTCTTGCTAAGTTAGCTTCTAGAATCTTTTTTGTTGTGGAGAATCTAGTTAGTAAAATGAAAGGAGGACTTAATTTAAACTCTATAATGGAAAGCAAGAGTGGGTAGGAGATAGAAAAGCTACATTGATTGTATATCAGTAAAAATTCTTGGAAGAAGAGAAGGAAGAGATACTTGGAAAAATGTGGAGCATACTATGGATAGTCAAAAGTATTTTTAATTTAAAAAAATATTTTTAATTTAATATTTTAAAAAATTTAAATCTTTTACTACACATTAAGACTACTTTAGGTAAATAATAGATGTGCTTTAAATAACAATTTAACTGCAGAGTAGAGGTTTTAAAAAAAAAAAAAAATTAAATAATACAAGGCCGAGACTGAGCCATGTGGTCCCAGGGCTACATTTAGAAGTGACTTACTGTCCTAACTTCCCAGTCAGGCTCATCTTCATAGCTACTGTGAGGCCAGTGTCATTCATCATATACAAATTCATTAAATGACTACCATGTGACAGTCCTATGTGAGATTCTGATGACACAAAGAAGAGGGAGAAAGAGCCCCTGCCCTCAAAGAACTTACAGTCTTGTCTGTAAGTAATTTATCAATAAATACACATGGCAACACATGTACACATGTATGTACAAGCTAAACCTGGTATTTTCATAGTAATAAAATTTGCTCCAAAATTGTACCTAGCCTTCCAAAGAATCACTAAAATTGGCAAAAATTTCCCAACTGAATTAGATGGATGCATACAATGTGAATGACTTCATTAGAACTACTCAGTCCTCATAAATTTCTGGATATGTCTAAAATAACAGGATTCAGAAAGATGTTTATTACATGTTTATTACAGTCTGTACTTTCCTTGCAAATCTGATACAGCTCCAGCAATGAACAACAGATCTTTCTAACATAGTGACACAGAAAGTCAACACAATTTCAGGAGCAGGGCAGGGAGACGAGAAAACGCCTCTCTCCGATGCATGCCTTCCATTGTATTTCAGACAGATGTCACTTGCAACTTAAACTCTTTTTTTCTGATTCCTCAGCTAACTGTAGGAAGGAGCCTTGTGTCTATTTCTCCCTCTGGGTCTGGGGACATGTTATATTCCATTAGCAGCCTCTTTGATTTTTCATCTAAAGCCCTTCCCTTGCCTTGGATATTGGCTAACATTTTCCACTGGTCAGAAACTTTGTTTATACAGCTGATCAAGTTAACGGTTCATCTCCTCTGCTCTGTAGGCCCTCCAATTCTACCGTCATCATAACTAGGATTGGTTATTTTACTTGGCAGAATTATTTCAGTAATACAAGATAACCAAATTAGATTGGTGATCGATTAGTTTTGTTCAGTACTCATTCCAGTAAATAAAACCAACCAGGCTCCAAATGGCTGAATTGCTATTGCAGTAGAGACCTCAGGGAATTTCATAAAATCCTACTTTGCAACCAGATATATACTGTATAGCAAAGACCCACACTTTTTAGCCTTGCTCAGTGGCTGTAGCTAGTTTTCTATGCTACATAAATTAGAAATACCACCATTTGTAAAAGTTGTCTCTGAAAACCTCTGAACTCAAAGAGGAATCCAAAGACCTAAGAACTGCTGCTTACAATTAGTTACTAGCTGCTCAATTTTCCATTTACATTTCTGGGTAAACACTGATATGGGCAAAATTAGAAGGGTCATCATAATCTTTGCATTGATGAATACAGCAGACTGAGTGTTAAATCATAAATAGGTGAACTTTTTTTAAAAAATATTTTCCTCTTATTTGAAGGGAAAAGATGAATTTTTTAAAAAGGGAAAACATGTAAGATATAATGGAGAATTTATCAATACATTTCAAAATGTATTTTTTTGAATGAAAAAAAAAATCTTAAGTTCTGGAGAGAACTTTGCCATTGACTTAATACGTGAGCTTAAAATATCTTGTTTGCACTTGCAGTTTTAGTAGAATAAAAGTAATAATTAGGGTCCTGTCTCCATCACCAAGTTATCATGGAGGCCAAATAGGACGCTGGATGTGGAAGCACTTTCTGACGTCTTAGAAAATATTAAAAAGCATGAGACTGCTAGCAGGGCTCCTTAAAATGTGGGATGCATTTCTGGTGAGATGAGAGACAGACGCTCTTCAGCATGCAGGGGTTCAAGCTCAGAAATGGACATTAAACAGTATTGAACTGCACAGTGAGAAAGTCATTCCCTTTTTAATTCTCAGTCGCCCTTTCTGATTCCTCCAAGGAGCAAGTCTTCCTCTGCCACTAGCATGTCCTCAACATGCCCTTAACACTTGCTAAATTCTCTTTACTTTAAAGAAAGAGCAGGCCTCAGGCATGGAGCCTTGAACAGGCAGAAGTATTTAATTAGCTTTTAATATCACAGTTTAGTTTTCCCTGTTCTTGTATTTTTTGTGGTAAACTCCTTAATGACAAGTGATAATGCTTTTCCATTAATAATAGTAACATAAAGTTTCATTTCTATGCAAATTTATCTATGTGGAAAGAAGGACCATTTTAAGGATAAATATTAAGCAATAAAAATTATAGTCAAAGTGATAGGAGAATTTGACAAAAATTGTGAATGTGATATGAATATGATTGAAGTTTGGAAATACACATACTAGCATGTGGAATGCATAGGCCAAGCCCTAATATGTTTATCGTTGAGATAGTTAACACTTTTTTTTGTATGTCTGTTTATATTCTTTTTTTTTAATTGATGTGTAATAGATGTATACAGCTTTGAGGTATGTGTGATACTTTAACACATCGTAAAGATGAAGTCAGTGCATTTGGGATATTCATCAAGTGTTCATCACCAAATATTTGTCTTTTCTTTATGCAAGAATCATTTCAATTCTTCTCTTCTAGCTATTTTGGAATATACAATAGATAATTGTAAACTATAGTCACCTTTTCTTATGTTTCATCCATCATCATCATCCTTAAATGATCCTTACAAAGAAAGAAAGGAAGGAAGTTGGAACTTTCAGCTGCCATTTTAACTTCCAGAGATAAACCCATCCACTGAGGGAATCCAGGCACTGAAATTCCACTTACATCTTCTAAACTTTTCAAACAATAAATATCGACAGCATTGGCTGGGCTAAAGAGACTGGCCTCTCCCCAAGAGTCCAGTTTGTCTTATTAATCTGAGAAAGGGACATACATATGTAGTCTATCAACCGCATTCAGAATGAGCATCAACATTTTAATGAAATACACTTGGCTCTATCTTCTAGAGACCACATGAATCCATGATCAATTATAATTTTGAAGAAGTTGTGGGCAAGCTAATCCCCTCTGATCATAGCATTTTCTCACTGTTTTCCATTCATTTTTCTCTCTCTCTCTCTCTCTCTTTCACTATTTCTCTCTCCCCCCTCGCCCCTTCCCCTCCATGGGGAAGGGAACAGAAAAATCTTTTCAAACAGTTATGTCAGAACAAGAGGCATGGAAAATTTGTTGGTAGGTTTCTAAAACACTGTTTCTGAACATTTGTGCATGAGCTCAATTTAGAAAAAGCGAAGAAAGCACATGATGACATTCAGGCAACTTGGAAGCCTATTTTTTTCCATATAATATTGTGCTGAATAAGATCCCAAAGTAATGATTTCCACTTGTTAATAAATGCTTGCTTGAACTGAAGAAGTCTTGAAGAAGAAGGAGAAGAAGTAATAATAAAAACACCATTGGGATCCTTTTCTATCTTTTCAAAAATGTTCAACTCCAACCCTGGAAAAGTTAACTGAAACTCATCCCAACATCTACTGCTGCCTCTCTTGTGGGCTTTTTTTTTTTTTTTTTTTTTAATTGGTGCATCTTTTTTTTTCCTACAGTCTCCCAGCTTGTGTTTATATAATTATTGTCGCAAGTGCAGGTATTTGACACTTTAATAACATATTATTGCACTTTAAGGAAAACACACCCTTCGGTACTATTCTCCTTGCCTGGGTGTAGTTCTCGTCTTCAGAGCAGATGTTCGTTGCTATTACGAAAGGGTTTTAGAATGTTAGAGTCCGATGCGCTGGGAGGCGAGCGCCAATTATGTCATAGGGTGTCAGTGCCCAGTTACAGCACTAATATAACCAGCTTTTTTATTATTTTTAATTTTTTTTTTTCGTTTTAATTATTCTCATATATACTTCAGGGCTCTCTTTATGGAAAATCAGGATTTGGCTTGCTATTATGTTTTTCACCTAAACAGGACAAGGAATTTTTTTGTGGTCTGATTTTTAGGAGTATCAGAAATATCTTACAAAAAACCAAACAAAACAAACAAAGCAAAAGCAAAATCCTCTCCCACAGCCTGGTCACTGATGACTGAAAAATATATCTTTTATGCCTGGTATGCCATAGGTTTTTAGTAAATGTATATTAAATGAACTAATTGGATAAATAAACTAACAACACACTTTTCTACCATTTAGTCAGTTTAGTAATATGCCTTTCCTATTTCTCCCATACTTAGAGACTGAAATCATTCATAATCATGTGTTCTGGAAAGGATGAAATAGCACCTCACTTACTCACAGGAGGGCTATTTCATCTTTAACTCCTAGTCCCGTGCTCTTTCCACATCATTATTATTACAAGTTTACCTTATAGAGAGATAATGGAGATTAATTTGTTGAGAATTTTGTATAGATTGTATTTATTTATTTGTTTGACTAGAACCAAGGATTAGCCAACTGTAGTCATAGGGGCCAAACCTGCTGCACAGTTTTATAAATAAAGTTTTATTAGAACACAGCCATGCCCATTAGTTTATATATTATCTCAGACTCCTTTGGCATCACAATTAACAAGGTTGAATGGTCATATCAGAGACCATACAGGGGACAAAATAATTACTATGTCTTCTTTTGCATAATAAGTTTGTTGACTTTTGGAGCAGAGGGAATTTTAGAGGAAGATAGGCATTAGAAGAGTACTGCATTTCTCAAATTCTATTTAAAATGATTTGTTAAATCAAAGTTTAACTTTCTATTGACTCAAAGATGTATGAGCTTGCCTTTATATAAATCTCACTATAGCATGGAAGATAATATATCAGTTTATTTATGTTAACTAATTTTTACTCCCATTGTTTTAATAGTATTAAAAAACAATAGTAATTGTAACAATATGCTTCCCTTTTTGATAGAATAAAAGAATACTCTTTCTCAGGATTGGTGAGGTTGAGGTTACAATCATGTAAATCAGCTGCAATCCTTTTCATCAATATAAGACCAAATGTATGAATGTCACAAAGTAAGTTCATTTGTACCTTGCACCTCCGTTTCCCCCC